ACTGTGATCGTGGTGTAACTTGGTTCGGCTTCTGAGGTGCCTGTCCAGGCATTGGAGGGAGTGGAACAGGCGTGACCTTGAGCGGGATCTTATCAGCTTTGATAGGTTCATGCGTGATGATCAACGCGTCGTCAGCACCCATGCCCCCTTTCATTGAGTTGAAACCGTTGCAGTGCGCACAGCAACAGTCTCGGTAGTCCATCGATGTTGAGAGCAACCATATCAGGTGCACTGCAAATTCCTGCGGGCTCTTAAAAAGCTTCACCTTGATAGGATACCCCGAAACCCAAAGATGTTTAGATTTTTCGTATAGCCAGTAACCTCGCGGGAAGTCAACTAGCCACGGATTCCCCTCTTCATATGGTCAGATATCTCAGAAGGATGAGGCAGAGGAGCCAACTTACCATCGGGGTTTGGACATAGCTCTTGCTTCAGAAGAATCCCGAGTTTGACTTTCCACTCTGTGAATCTTGGGTCGTCTTCGGCTAATCGAATCATCTGAGGTTTAGTCCTTGGAGCTTTCTCAGCCGCAGACGCATCCTTTGTCTTCTTAGTGGCAATCGTGGCGGATGGTGCTGTGACTGGCCAGTATCCGGGCCCAGTGTCTGATCCATCGCTTCTTGCCACTCTTACAACATCGAATTCTTTCAATTCCGACGTGTTCATTGCCATTCTTAGATCAAGAGCCTATTTGCGTCTGGCACTTGCTCGATGTCTTCCAGGTTCAGGGCCGTCCTCCAGGAAACTATGATGGCGGACGTAGACGCGTTGTTTCTGCCCCTTGGCGAGTAAGGGCCGTTATAGGTCTGATGAGTCTTTAGGTATTTGTTGAATTCGCGTGTTTGTTGTCAAGATGCAGATAATTGACGATCGTACTCCGTACGCTCTGATGAATTGCTCAACACGAGGAGGAGCTGTTGGAATAACAATGCGCCTGGACACGCAATCTTTCATCCGCTTAGCTGAGTGTTACTGATAATTCGTATATTTTGGAAAGATACGTCCCAGTCTTCGCGCTCTGTACCTTGATCACGAAAAAGGGTCACTATAACTCATATGAAGCTCAAAGCTCTTGAGAGTTCTTTCAATTGGTAAACGAGCTGAGTCAGCATAATGACCGGGCCACCCTACACTGACTGAATGAACAAAGAATGCTATGTAGCAGTGAAAGCTGTAAGGCACCTGGTAGTCATTTATGTCATAGTTTGATATGCAGTATTAAGTTATTCTATTGATATTCATCAGACTGGCCTTTATTGTTCTTCTGTGCGTTCTGGCTGTGTTTTAACGTGCCAATCGAGGAATATCCCAAGATGCATATCGAACCTCGATATCAATTCCATGCTGGTTATTGCTATGATTTCATGGATTATACTAATACATTTGGCAAGTTACAAATCACTCCCGAGCGGAATGAAACAAAGAAGATAACTGAGCGGCACCTGCAAAGTGATATGAAAAGCGAGCTGGTTGATGTGGATGCTTGAATGAGCCACCACAGCCACAGATGCGTGGCTCGTGCACTTAATTAAGCCTTGAGATCGCTGAACGCGTCAAACGCGTCTTCTCTTCCCCTCCAAGAAAATCATTTCTGGGGCTTTCGTTCCAAGTATTCACACCTCATCGATTTTTGAGAAGAAATTATAAATCCATAGTGCTGGGCCTCGAGCGCGAATATAGTCAGGCCAAAACCAAGCATGAGTAACCATGAATTCAACCATGGGGATAGGGCATTTCTCCAGGCCATCTTAGCTCGAGGAACGATTACTTTCGAAGAAGCCCGTCCTATCCTTGCTGCGATATTCAATGCCAACCGCAGGCACAGCGGAGGCGAGGAGGGACACGAAGTACGAAAAGATCAAATCACCGAAGAACACTTTCAAGAAGCCATGGACAAAGCTTCAGAAGCGGCATCACTTTTTGACTACGAAATCCGAAGTACTTTCCACCAAATTACAAAGAGACGAATATGGGCTTTGGTCAATACCACGTCTGATCCGCAGACGCAACTCGCTACCATATACAGCCACGAAGAAATCTCGTTCATTAAACGTGTTCTAGACGCTATGTTTGAAAAGTTCAACACCCCCCGCATGGAAGTCATGGCTATTACCGAGATGCAGGCCATCAAACTGGCACGGCCGAACCGAAGAGAAAGCCAGATCGATGTGGAAGCCCAGACGCAAACAACTGTAGACAAAGGACTCAAGCATAGTGAAGTGGAAGCTGTACTTGCAAATTTAGTTGAGGGAGGGTGGTTTGAGAAGAGTAACGAGGGGTTCTATACATTGTCACCCCGAGCGTTGCTGGAATTACGACCCTGGCTAGTCGAAAGCTACAACGACCCGGAACTTGAGCCAGGCGACTGGCAACGCATCAAGTTTTGTGAAGCATGCAAGGATCCAGTCACGATTGGTCTGAGATGTGCAGATGTGGATTGCAACTTCCGACTGCATGAGGTATGTGAAGAGGCTTTCTGGCGAACTAGGCGAGACAGAAACTGCCCACGATGCTCCACCGAGTGGTCAAGTCATAAGTTCACAGGCGAGAGAGCGGTCACTTCGACTGATGCTTTCCAACGGGGACGGCGGAAGAATGGGAGCGGCTGGCAACGTAGCACACTTGCCGATGAGGTTATCCGTGACGAAGGAGGGGCAGATGAGGCTGAAGACGAGGATGTTGACGACACCTGATAGAGGTGTATACGCCGTTGTACCTCCTTTTATGTCTTCATCATTAACCATAGAATTTCAAGATACCCACGGTCAATCAACATGAATTGGCATTGCTAAGTACCTACTTATGCTGCCCAAAGAAGAAAACCCCAAAGATGCGAGAATTGACTGATCAACGAGCCCCCAAGCGTATACAGGTAACTAACCTTAAAACCCTCGTCACTTGGGAAGTTTAATTTCTTCGCCTACCTAGGCTGTTGACCTCATCTACTACTAATGGCAGCTGAAGTCGACTTGAAGCCCTGATCTCCACCCACCCATGTTTTGGAAGCCATTTGACCAATAATTTTCGGATTCGTATCATGGTACGGCAGTTGATTGTCGATCATCAAATCACGTAGCCTTAAAACCTGTTTACGTGGGGGAGCTTAGGCTCTGACCCTGGACTCTGGCTGGGCTGCCGTCGTGACATCACATGTGATGTGGCTGTGCGCTCTCGATTCGCGTAGATCGTTCGTCACCCAAGACAAGACAAAGGCAAATTTCCAAGCGCGCGCCAACACCTAAATCGCCATCCCTCGTTTTCCTTGAAGCTGGGCGGCCTCTTGTTCCAGAATAAGATAGTTAAATAGCTGAATCCCCATCTACCAAATCTCCGAACAAGGCGCCCCCCATACATATAACAAAACTCGAAGATGTTGGAATACTTGACATACAAAAAGATCAAGAAGAACAGAGCGGAGAAGGCGGCTGCTGCTGAGGAGGCTGCGAAGAAGACCGAAGCTGGATCTTCGGTAGACCCATCCTACGGACATGTACCGGATTTCAGCAATGAGGCATCTCGTGCATCAGATCCTCAACACAAGCGGCGAAGCACGCAGCACAGCCTCAGCTCCGATACTCCTCCTCTGAGCCCAGTCCTCGACCGTGACGATGAGGCATGGCTGCAAAGTATCCTGGAAGACGATGGTCCGGCTCCGCCTTTGCCGCCACGCATCAATACCCCTCAGATCGACCTCTCGTCTGCATCTGAGAGTGAGATAGAGGCGGTAAAGGCTTTACAAGAACCCAAGAGTAAAAAGGACAGGAAGAAGGAAAAGAAAGACAAAGACAAAGAGAAAGAGAAGCACGACAAACAGCCAAACCGCCTAACGGCTTTGTTCACGAGGCACAAGAAACCACAAGATGGTCTTAAGCCAGAAGATAATGTCGCGCCACCGGAAGCCGAACGAGAGGAGCAGGACCTTGGTAATGTTCTCGACCGTCTGAACCTCCAAGCAAAGAACAACAAGATAGTTTCTCTCTCCAACGAGTCATCCGAGCTCCTGTCCCGTTTCACCCAAGTATTCAAGGATCTCGCCAACGGTGTGCCGACAGCATACGGTGACCTCGCAAGCCTAGTTGAAGACCGCGATGGTGCCATCAATCGCGGTTTCGAAAAACTCCCTTCATCTCTCAAGAAGCTTGTTACCCAGCTTCCAGATAAGCTGACGTCCTCCCTGGCACCTGAGCTCCTGGCGGCGGCTGCAGAAAGTCAGGGTCTTAAGGCGAATACCGAAAAGGGCATTAAGGATGCCGCTATCGACCTCCTCAAGCCATCGAATTTGACCGATCTAGTCACGAAGCCAGGGGCTGTTGTTGGTATGCTCAAGGCTATCGTCAACGCATTGAAGGTGCGGTGGCCTGCATTTATCGGTACAAATGTTATATGGAGCGTTGCTTTATTCTGTAAGTATTGCTTCCCAAACTGTCTATTCATTTGCTAACCCTGAATAGTATTAATGTTTGTCCTTTGGTATTGTCACAAGAGAGGCCGCGAGGTGCGACTGGAGCGTGAGAAATCTGTAGCTGAGACACCTATTGATGGTAGCGATCGTATCGAGGAGCTTCCAGATGATCCCCTTCTTCCGGGGCCAGAGGCAGCGGCGGCGAGTCGCAATGCCGACAGGGCAATACTTGGAGATCCTGTTTCCCCTTTGTCTGAGCCATCCCCGATTCCTGCTGTAGTCGAGCCAGTCTCGCCAGAGGAACCGGTTCGTCGTCGCTGAGACGGTGCCTGGACAGGACTTATATTTGTAAGCAGGTTGATATATGGTAACGAGCAGTATTCACGACATGTTTTATGACGAAATGAGAACGGAGCCTCCGGGCAGTGCGATACCAGTTTTTACTATTGATGGACATGGTATGAATAATAAACTTGATTTCTGCATTTTCACAGTGGGTATCTTTTGTAGGTTGAAAGGAACATCTCTTCTAGAGGCTTTCGTAGTTCTGCTATCCAGCATCATTTGGATAGAAGAAGACAACATATTTTGCGATGCTTCAATCGTCTTGGACCACTTCCTTGATCTCTTCTCGCCCAGGGGCCATGGCGACAGCTTCACTCTTGTCACTCACACCTTGGCGATCTGTAGCCCCACCCCCATCTTTGGACCAAAAGTCCACCTCATCAATGATGTCCCAGACAATGTCCTCTACAATTTGGTCAGAATAACGCTCGCTCACAGGGCGCACCCTGTTCAAGCGAGCGTTGCCTGACCAGACCTTATCAGGTCTATCTTCGGTCTCGGCTGGAGGGGGATACCAAAACTCGGGACCGAAATTTACCTCCACAGCGCCTCCATGGAAGACACTTACGGCGGGGTAATATCCGAGCATGCCGTCGTCAAGGCCTTCGCGACCGCCACCTTGACCTTGAGGACGTGAAGCTGGTGGGAGGAAGCCAAGGAGATTCTCGAAGGGAGTACCCATTAAAACGCCATTCTTGTACACGCGGATGCAGGAATTGGGAAGCGTGCGGAGACTTGGAAGAGGGTGATTAGGACTAGGTTCTTCTGAAGAGCCACCGCCAGCCCCTGTCGGGTTCATAAGATCTTCCAATTCTTTGGCGGGGGAGTACTCGCTCTTCTCGAAATAAGTATGAGATTTGAAGCGTATGGGATAGCGATCGCGGACAATGTTATGGCCTTCAGCGGTGGCCGCAGGTTCCTCGTCGGTCTGATCAACAACTGGATTATACTGTCCAGACATGACCTTGCGGTGCAGTTGTTCTGACGGAAGTTGAATCTCGAGGCCGATGATATCCCCCTCCCGAATGCCTTCTCCTGCAGGAAAGAACTCCTTAGGACGGGACATATGTACCTTTTCGCCCGCAACGTCACGGAGGCCATAACTGTAAGCATCGAACCCCACAGGCGCATCAAGCGATGCCTCTCGTCTTGCCCAGCCCACGCGTACATGCTTGCCTCCCTCCGGCTTGGATTCTCCATCTTTTGGTGGTCGAACTCCTTGTGTGATTTTGCACTCCCAGTACCATCTGCCCTCCCTCACAGCCACGTTTGCCCTTGCCATGCGAAATCCTTTTTCGGTTGTGACGTGACGAGCCGACTTATCAAAATAAACATGCCCTGCTGAGTCCTCGAAGCTCAAGTGGGGACCATATGGCTCTGGTTCAGTGCTTCGGTAGTAGATCATGGACGGGAAGAGAGGATCGGCGATGCAGGGAGTATACCGGAAGCTCTTCTTATTAGAGACACTTTGGTAGTTAGCTTGAAGGCATTTTCCAAATATAGTCTTGGCTTACTGATCGGATGTTTCAAAGAATTCGACCGTTTGGCCATCAGGGGCCGTGACCTCATGGTGTGCCGTCAAGACAGGACCTCGCGGAGGGTTGAAGTTGGACAGTTTAGGCTGCCCCAAGTTGTATCGTAGTGGGCTCGACTCGCTCTGTTTCTTCTGTGGCTTCGACTTTGGTTTTGGATCAGGTGTCGCACGAACACTATCGCTTCCCTTGGCCTCACGTTTCTTTAGAGTATCCTTCTTTGCTCGCGCAGACTTGGACCTAGAGTTTTGAGCAGCATCTTCAGGTGCCAAAGAGTCGGAAGGCCTGACTTCGGGGTTCAGTGGCGAGGGAACGACAGGACTGTGACGGCCTTCTTCAAGGGGGCGCTTTTGAGGAACCGAGGATAAAGGAAGAGTGGGTGTCGGCTCTCTCTTAGGGGAGCTCCCAAGCTCGGACGTCATGACCAAAGGGAACGACTGAGGCGTTGACGATATTGCACAGAAGTAGATAAAAGTACAGAATTGATGTCGAGTGACGATGCGACGCGACGCGACGTGACAACCAAACTAGTACTGATGCTGAACGTTCTTAGAATCAAGCTAGCTGACCTCTGATCGATAAGTAACCCTGCGTTTGAGCATGGGTAAGATAAGATAAGATAAAAACGAGAAAGAGAACTCAAGCCTCGGCTGATAAGAATCGAACGGAGAGAACAAAAAAGAGGGCCCGATCTCGGCCTAGCGTGTATTGGATCTGAGTCGGTCAGGGCACCAGGACGGCGATCCCCTGCGCAAAAATCCGACCAGCGGCGCCAAGGAGCGAAGAGGAATTTCTCCGTGTTAGCTGAACCAATCAGAGACGACTCAATGTAATACAACGCATCTCAGGGGCGAAATGACAATTTTGACAGAGCCGCGGTGAGGAAGAGGGGCGTGCTAGAACGTCCTAATTTAAGGGCCTTTCGCTTGGTTCCTCCACTGTGACGACACGTTGGGAAGGGTCTTTTCTGCAGGTTTTCTGGCGTGACGAGATCTGGAGAGTTTGGGAGTTCAGGTTTGTGAGGCATAGATCTCTCACGTGAAAAATACGAACCGTACCTACTCAGCATCAAATGATATTCATGCAGTCGGAAACGGCACCTTTGGTTCAAGAGCTAAGAAAGACACTAGAAACGAGATGGGAGTGTCTAGATCAAGTCGGTTGTGTTAACCCCAACCCACCAGCGGCCGTCGTTCCATGCTGGGGCCGACTCCCCGTGAAATCGCATCATGTGCCTGTTGAGTCTCGTCTTGCTTCTGGTTTGTTTTTGCCTTTGCACGTCACTCCCCTCCAGCCTAAGGACGAATTAGACTTGACGGCAACTGAGGGGTACGAGAAGGAGAGAATAGAGAGAACAAGAGTCAGCGAGTCTCTGCTGGGCCCCATTTAGGCTCATGCAATGCAACGCCAGCTCCCGAAACCCGACAACCAGTCTCCAATCCACCATAACTAATACCAAACAATCTGAAGGGTAGAAGACAAGGCAGAAGCAAGGCAAGGCAGAGCAATCAAGAAAGCACAAGCCCAGATCCAATTCCAAGACTAAGCCCCAGCCCCATTGGATACCTTAGATTAGGCCTTTGTCTGATCATCAATCGCAATCACCTTACCTACTCTGCTCAACTTTCTCTGCCCTCTCTTTCTGATCTGACCTGCGCCTCAATCTCAAACCAGACGGAATTGGTCGTCCATCTGTTGTGTCGACGGTCATCTCTGAGTTCTCTCTCTCTCTCTCTCTCTTTCTCTCTCTCTCACTCATTTGACCTCAACCTTTCCCTTGAAAGACCTTAACCCCCACCTTGTCCTCTCTTGGTCTCGGATACCCTTCTCCCGGGGTCACCGTCCTTTCCTCCACCGCCATCTGCCATCTGCCGTCTCATTGCCTCGCTGGTTATCGATCTACGGTATCTCACGCGCGCCTGCACACACGCAAACATACACCCTGGTCTTTGGTCTTGGCTCTGCTTGGTCACCAATTCACCTTCCACCGTCCCAGCCTGGTGGTGCCGCAAGACTTGGGAGTCTTACGCCTCAACCCATTGACGAAGTCCTCCCCTGTTATTCGCCAAGCACCACATTCAATTATATCCTTGCCTAGGAACGAGACAAGGCGTGTTCCGTCCCCGTCCTGCACTTCGCTTTTGGCCGCCTTTTTTTGTCTTACCAACACCTGTCATTGCGTAGTCACAGATTCCTCACCCTTGCACATACGGAGTCTACTGAACTTTACCTTCCGCCTTTTTGGTCTGGTTGATAATCTTTGTTATCTCCTGTCCTTGGCTATTCCCTTCGTCTTTTTTACTACACACTCCGCACATCCTTGTCTCTCCTCTCCTCCCCGCGGCTGTCAACTCCCCAACCTTCTTCTTTGGTTTTCTCGGCCTTGCAGTTGCGCCGGTCCCAAGTATCTGGTCGCTGTCGCGTCACTCTCTGACACCTGTCGTCTGACCAATACCTGGCTTCCCGTTCGATCGGACGCGATCCATTCTTCGATTGGTCCTGTTTACTTAGTACCTAGGTCAGCTGCCTACGCATCTACGTCCCTTTGTACCCCGGCGACTTGTTCGACTCGTCTGCCCACCAGCAAAACTGGCAACCTGACGATACATATCGCTAGACTGCAGATTGGGCTTTGCACTAGGTACTTCTTAAGCATTCTGACTTACACCTCACATCGAGCCAAGAAAGTATTCCATTTGTTTGGCTCGCTTCGGTGCCTACGAACTCTTAGTTGCGGAACCCGGCCCCGGCCTCTCTCCGGATTTGCCTCCTTGCTCGGCCGGTTCGAAACCACTTATCAATCCGCTGCAGCCGATTACGAGTCGTGTGAAGGACTTTCTTTCCCATTTCTAGATTTCAACCTTACTCATCCTCGACATATACGACAATCAAATCAACCTACCGGCCATCGATAACGCCAAATGCTGTAGACTTCGGTTTGTAACTGATCCGTCGCATTCCAACCCAGACTATTGAAGTACACCCGTCCGCTTCATCTGAACCATTGACGTCTTGTTTCCCTCGATACTGTCAGCCCTACCTACGGGCATGAGCCAAGAAACCCAAGAAACGGCGCTGTATAGCCATCAGCGTGAGACGGCCTCGGCGCGAACGGCGCTGCCATCACGACCAATGTCCTCGAAACCAAGTGATAGCTCGGCTGTTTCTTCTCAGGAGCGGACCAGACTCCCTACCGGCCAGGACAACCGTGACCACCAAAATAGACTAAGTGGGAGCCCGTCTGGCCCTAAGACAAGTCCAGATCCAGGAAACATGTCAAAGCAACAGAGTCCTGGGGCAGAGCATGGCTCAAAAACAAGTCCGCCACCTGGTGGAAGCCAAGGACAAGTTTGCAGGTGAGTCAACTACCTCTACTCTCTACTTCTATAGTAATCACTCTGCTTATACCGATAATAGTAACTGCGGAACCACCCGAACCCCTTTGTGGAGGAGATCACCTCAAGGTGCTACGATCTGCAACGCCTGTGGTCTCTATCTGAAAGCCAGAAACGCCTCTCGTCCGACTAGTCTCAAGCGACCGCCAAATGTTGTCCCTGCGGACCCTCCTCGAACTACCGCACCGAAGCCCTCTGCAGTCGCTGGTCCAAAACCTGCGTCAAATGCGACCTACATATCGGCTGATCAAACTGGAGGGACTTGCCCTGGAGGTGGACGTTGTAACGGAACGGGTGGTGCAGAGGGCTGTAACGGATGCCCTGCCTATAACAATCGTGTTTCGAAAAGTGCCAACCTGGGTGGAACGCAGAAACGACAGAGTTGCCAAAGTCGAAGTGAAAGTACTAAACCGGAACCGGTGCCTCTGGATGTCAATGCCTTGCAAAATCAACAGAATTCGAATGCCACGGTTGTGATTGCATGCCAGAACTGCAGCACCACTATTACGCCTCTCTGGAGGCGTGATGAGAGTGGCCACACCATCTGCAATGCTTGTGGTAGGTATTGTGCGTTTAGCGTTTATCAAACAGTATTCATTAACAAACCTAGGTCTATATTACAAGCTACATGGTGTCCACCGGCCGATGACCATGAAAAAATCCACTATCAAAAGACGAAAACGAATTATCCCAGCGTCGCAGGATGAGGAGATGGAAGATGCAATGGAGCCAGCCGAAATGCAAGGTCAATATGAAAAAAATGCCGAGAAGGGGTCAATGAACGAGGACGGATCTGTCAACCTGGGTCTTCGTCGCCGCCCAGACCATCCGCTCACGATCGAGCCTCAACCGGTTATCCGACCTACAAGTAGAACAATATCGCCACTGCCTTCGACCTCGGATCTGGCTGCGTATCACCAGTCAAATAACCCACGTCAGTATACCGGATTCCTGAACGACGATAATCGACTGGCCCCCATGGCGTCTATGTCATCAAACAACGACAGGAAAACGTCACTATCCCCTGCCTCGTTTCTGTCTCCAACTCGAAAACGATCCTTCTCTACCACTGAAAGTGAAGCATTTGCCTCACAAGAAACTGGACAGGAGAGTTCGAAACGAATCTCCTCGATCAATATTAAATCGATACTGAATCCATCGACGTCAGCCACCACTCCCCCCAATTTAGGAACAGGAAGCGACGACGGCGACTATTCATTGCCTCCCATACGATCACCCGGTAGTACCATAGCATCAGCACCCAGTCCCAGCGCCTTTTCCAACCGGGATAACACGCCAGGTGCTGGTCCGCGTGATTACGATACTGAGAGAATAAAGGCTGAGCGCCGAGCAGCCTTACAACGCGAAGCGGACAAGATGCGAGAAATGCTTGCCGCAAAGGAGAGAGAATTACAAGAACTTGGACATGATTAATGAGTGGGATCCACGATAAGACATCAACGATTTATGAGGTGCCTCTTGGTCAGCAAGGTATCACTGGACGCGAAATTTTAGTGAATGGAAGGCGAGTTGGGAATCGGCGCATTTTGGATTTCACAGCACACACGGCCTTCTCGGATGGGTTTCAGCTCATGAAACTGGAGTTATTGCTGCCAAGGAGCAAGGTGTTTGACATACGTGTCTGGTCTGCTTTCTTTCTTCTCTTCTAAAAGCTATTGGAAGGATTATACAGAACTACTGGCCTCGGCCAGCGATACCACTCTATCTCTCTAAAAGCACATTGTTTACACTACGGAAAATGAACATATAGACAGGGTCAGGCTGTATGTATCGCAAGATAGTTTACACGAGCCAAAAAAAGAGAATGCGGTGTCGCGTTGAGCGACTGTGAGTTGACAACTTGATCAAGTATCAGCTTTGAGCCCTTTCCGCTTCCTCTTTGATTTATTCACTGTGATACCGACCTTTGTTGAAAAACAAGATTTTTTGACAGAATTTGCGTGGTTTTCCGAGACCCAAAGTCCATTCTATACATGGTTTGCGAAGGTGCTCGCATAGTAAAGCATCCATTGTGTGGACATCAGAGCGTAGCACAGAACCCCGTTCTCACTGCCTATGTAGGCGCTCAATGTGTATAGTTATAGCCCAGGCCTACCACGGGGTATAAGAAGTGAGTTTGCGCATTGATGAAGTGATCAGAAAACCCTAGCTGTCTCGTGACCACAACGAAACATAATGCCTCAAGGACCATGAAGTGCAAGGCTTGTTGGTAAAGCTGACTGATCCATACAAATGTAACGCTGCGGAGAGAAAAGCGGCCAGCTCGTTTATCACAGAGAGTGAAATCATGACTTAAGGAAAACAAATTCCAAGACTATTTAAGCAATAAAATGGTCTACCAGAGCGGGGAGAAAGAGTTTTGTTGGTCATTAGACAAGGTCTAACGACGGGTAAGATGGCAAAAGGTGCCTTCACAGCAAAGTCTTGGAATAGATATGCTAGATGTATCACCACCAGCATGTAATTTATCAACCGCAATACATATGGGCTATTCATGATATATCCCTCCCAATCAATCATATAAAACGCCTGGCGTGGAGTAGTTGAGCATCGACTCATGTGATTGCAGCGTGCAAAGAGGAGATGGAGCTGTCGTGCAACTATGGTGGCTAACGTTTATGCATACAGTACGTCTTGTAATACATTTCCTATGTTAGAATTGACAATTGCATGCATCAGTCATGGGTGCCTTCTACTGACCGTCCATTGCCGCGGGACATATCAGACAGATGATGTTTCCTGTTTCCTGTTCCAACAAGGCAGGATATCATTAACATAGCGTATGAAATTATGATTGAACAGTACATTGCAAATAAGTAGCCTATTAATAAAACCTTGGCTTGATGATCTCTGCATGGCTAGCCTAAGCCCAAGTAGATTGCTGTCAGTCTAGGTGTTGGGGAGAGTTAGATATGGTCGTTATATGCTATATTCTAGAAGATGAAAGGCTTGAAGACGCCGCGGCAGGATAGCTATCAGACTGATAAGTATCGAGTGAGTTGTACATGAAAATGATTTCACTCGATATGAGGACTCGCTCCCGTTCAAGTAGACACTGTGCCCTCAGGCTTCGTCCCCGAGTTGTGTGGATGCCTTTAGAATCTCTGCCAGGCTGGACAATACCGGCAGCATAAATTGCAAGGTGACGATTGAAATTTATAAGCGACTGGTATTGAACTGAGTTTGATGTCGATGTCTACATTGTATATGGATATACAGGAAATCCGATAGTTCACTAACAGAGCAAAACACCACGGATTAGCTTCGATATGAGGTAACTTGAAACGAGAAATGACCAAGCTAGATTAAGTATATACCTGATAGCGGCCTGTAGCCTTTCATATTTCCGTAAGGCTGATGATTCTTTATGCTTGAGGAATAATAGGTTGAGGACCATTGTTTTGTTTGAGCATATACGTACGGAGTAGTCCCAAGCAAGACGAAAGGTGAACCGGCATCCAAGCAAAAACCAAAAAGGCAACCGATTAATCTGTCGAGAGATACTTGGATTCATTTCAATACGCCAGGGCGGAAGACTGTTTGGCCATACCAAAGTCAATAAGTCTCTGAATGGCCAAGGCACCTTAGTAGGTAGACGTGTTGCGATATTGCCCTGCACCATGTTTCGGATCTTGCCGTATAGCATATTGAGCTAATAATTTAGACTCGCGGCATTTGCGGAGATCTAAGTAGATGTTTTGCCTGTCTATCTCCGGTTGGGGATCCGTCCGATCAGGATACCTAATCAGGGGATCAAGCAAACGCGAAGAGCTTAGTTTGATATGGTCGGAGTTGTACTGGAATGAGTAAATGCTGGGCGCCCTGGCGTCGGCTTCTCAGCAGTCGAATTTTTATTTTCTCTTGGGGATGCCGTATGATCACTGCTGCACACCCTCATAGGCTCCTGTCGAGCGCCGTGATGACCGGTGCCGGTGCCGGGGTGGAGCGCCTCCGGAGACTCCGATCCACGGTGAGTCGCAAACTACAGGCAGCTGCTACCGTACCCGTCCTGCCTGCTTTCCGCAGCATTTCCGCTGTACAGGTACCTTAGTAGGCAGGCAGGTTCGCCTAAACCAATGGCGCTTCTTGCCCCAGGATTTGGTCACTTACTCACATCACTCGTAACACTTCATCCAACTCTTCTGCTTACCAATACGTCAGATGATAAAACTCAACGTGTGTTGAGCAGGGAAATATCTTGAGTGATCTGCGACTCGTTACCCCAAAGCTAAGGATGCTGTGTGTCGGTGGCTGATTCTAAAATCTCACCGACAAGGCAGACCGGCATGGTCTTTATTTTTTTCTCTCCGATACGACGTTTCGTAGAAACTTCCAGTGCTTTCTAGACAGTCTTGAAGTGATACGAGGAGGCACATCAATCAATCATTCAATTATGGCGGGTAATCCAGCATCTGAGCCTCTGAGCCTCTGAGGAGGATGTGCTAAACCCCACATAGACACTCCGGGGAAGCGCATGCTCGGGCTTTATCGAGTCACGATTCCGATCCGGTGGACAATGAGCCTCCAAAAGACATCACGGATTATATGCATTGCCATATATGTAAACGGTCTTATTGCGAGGTCAAAGATCCATATGTTATGTACGAAGGCCGGTCTCGGGTCAAGACTTGGGTCTAGCGAGATGCATCCACATGGATGGCTACGCCTTGCGAACAACGAGAAGCGGAGCCCAGTCTATTGACCGCATCGAGCTGACACTGTACGGGCGAGACAATGATTGGACCATCCACACTGTTGGCTCACCATACGCGGAGGAGCTGGAACCATACTACAGTGTTGGAAGCACCGTCCCTCCACAGCCTGTTTGCGTGGGTCCATTGATCAAAAAGATCCTTGTCTGTCAATTGAAGGGCGCACGACTTGACAATCTGGCTAGACTCGCTCAGCTGGTTGGTGTGGCTGGCCGACATTCTGCACTCCAACTCCACCAGACTTTAGGCTTGGTTCACAATTCTGGGGGATGGAGACTGCTGACTCTTTCGATGTGCTCCTAGACAGACCGTTACTTGTGCCTAGGTGGTACCTTTGTTGGATTTTCATCTTGAACAAAACTCAGGGACTATCCTCAACTTGGGAGCCTCATTCTTTTCTCTTTATTTTCAGGCTCAACTATCTTGTGTCCCTTCTAGCTCCCACTCCAAACGATTCAAGTGGGACCAGGCTGACTGACATCTAAATCTAATCGGTTCATGGCTGTCACCCTCACGCGCGCCTTTCGATTGACTTGAGCTGATATCTCTGAACTCCGCATCACCGCTCATCCTTGTGCCGTCATGTCGAATATGGATGAGATGGAGCAATTTGTCAACTGGGACAAGGCCATTGACGCCTTTCCACAACCCCAGGATGGCAGCACCTTTGCTGGTCTGGCAGCTGACAACAACGAGAGCATTGATCTTGTCCTGGAGAATGTCAGTGAAGACGACTTCAGTTTCTGCGCCCTTCAACACTTTTCAGACAACAACTTCCCTCTGCCAGACATGCCCGCCCCTACGATGGACTTCATCACAACCGCTGAAGACATATCTAGTCAATTTCAGTGGGACACACCTCCATCGCCGTGCATCAACTGTGCTATGTCTGGTTTCTCATGCAAAAAGATCCGGGAGGGTATGTACAAGGACTATTGCACTACCTGCGTAGCATTGAAGGTCGACTGCAGCTTTGCTGTTGGCCCCAAGTCCATCAACACCTCAGCTGCGCCCTTTGACATCAACCCTTTTCTATCATCTGGACCTCAGATCTCCAAGGCTCTTCAGGAGGATAACCAGGACGACTCTTGTCAATCCTCTCGCAATGCCTCCCGCAATGCCTCCGTCAGTGATCTAGGCAATCTGGGAGAAACATTCAACAACAAGGCCGCACCTCCTCCCAAAATTGGGGCACGATTCTCTCGAGAGTCTGTTCGTATTCTCAAGAACTGGCTCTCAACTCATAACCGTCATCCTTATCCTAGTGACGAAGAGAAGGAGATGCTGCAACGCCAAACAGGCTTAAACAAAGTCCAAATCACAAATTGGCTTGCAAATGCTCGTCGACGCGGCAAGGTTCAGCCTCCGCGCTCAACATCACCTCACTACACCAGCTCATGGTCAGGCCCCATGGATATCCCTCAACGCCGAGGAACACCAGCTCTGGAAGCCATGAACCCATTGCAACGTTGGGAGCACTCGCCCCCTGAGAACGAACCTGCGTCCGTCAGCGCCATTGCACGAGCCGTTACCGCCTCTTCCTCCGGAATGTCTTCCGGTCTCGACAGCCCTTTCAGTTTGAGCTATGCGGACGATGGCTCAAGCAGATCTATCTGCAACCAGTCGTCGGTCAGCAGTTTAGGCACCTCCCATTCCAGTAATGGTTCTCATGGATCGGCCTATTCACATGGATCTCGCAACTCATGGGGGTCTTTTGGTTCAGCCCCATTCAATAGCCACGGACGTCGTCGCCGTCGCCGAAGGGCTTCGGCAAAAATTGGCAAAGAGAAGACCAGCCTATCAGCCCCTCTCAAGACCTTCCAGTGTACATTCTGTACCGAAACATTCAGGACTAAGCACGACTGGCAACGACACGAAAAGTCGTTGCACTTGTCTCTTGAACGGTGGGTTTGCTCTCCTCATGGCGCAAAAGCCGTCAACCCTGATACCGGCATCTTATCCTGTGTCTTTTGTGGCGAGGCCAACCCAGACGATGCCCATATCGAAAGCCACAACCACTCTGCCTGCCAAGAGCGCACCCCAGCAGAACGGACATTCTACCGAAAAGATCATCTTAACCAGCACCTGCGCCTGGTGCATAATATCAAGTTTCAGGATTGGTCTATGAAGTCGTGGAAGGTAGCAACGCCTGAGATTCGGTCCCGATGTGGTTTCTGTGGTATCGTAATGGATACATGGACTATCCGTGTCGATCATTTGGCAGAGCATTTCAAGACGGGTTATTCCATGGCTGACTGGAAGGGTGACTGGGGTTTCGACAACCCTGTACTCGAGATGGTCGAGAATTCCATGCCTCCATGTATGAGACCTCTCCAGTATCCTGTAGACAAGTTGCCAACGTCTAACTTTTGAAATAGATCTTATTCATTATGAGCGCACATCCCCGTTGCCATACGTAGCCACTCACTCCCCGCCAGAGTCACCTCGTAATGCCTACGAGTTGATTAAGTTAGAAATGGCTTTCTTCACACGGAACTATCAGGACCAGCACGGACGACTCCCGAACGACGAAGAAATGATGGTCGAAGGTTGTCGTATTATTTTCGCTAGCGAATTGTTATCTCTACAGGGCATCGCGACGAGGCCATCGTGGCTCCGTGACATTATCATGAGCTCCGACACTCTACAACAAAAGGCTAGATTCGGTCCTTTGCGTGGCGCCGCTGAAAACAGGCTGGCATCCCTGAAGATTAACGGCAAGGACAACTTGTTCGAGGAGTGTCCCATGGAGGTACAGCTCCACGAGTTTGTCAAGGCCAAGAGACTACTAGGTTTAACGGCGATGGATGATGAGCTTCAAGAAGAGGCTTGTCGTATCGTGGGCCGAGTGGAAGAAGTCTCTACACACCCGTCAGAGGCCATTGCAAACTGGCTAATTCGCCTCGCAACATCTACTACGAACTGGCTCGCGCCTTTCCGTCGACGCGCACACCTTCCACGAAGCGAAGACGTGGTGGATCACATTTGCCGTTCAACGGATCCTACATCCATCGACTCAACAATCCATAGCTACTCGCGCCTAGAGCGTGAACTGAAGGATTATCTCATCTTACAACGATCGATGGGCATAGAGCCTACTGACGAGGACCTCCAACGACAAGCTCGTATCATTATATACGAATTCGATGACGGTTGGAACCAAACCGCGGCAGATAATGCATCTTGGCTCGAGGGATTCAAAAACCGCCATCCCGCAAGCAGTAACAACTCGCCTGCATTTTCTCTTCAGCCTAGCGTCAACTCGACTGTCAGCGGAGCCGCCGCCACTGATGCGACACTTTTCTCGAATGACTGTCCTGTTCTTCTGGGATTGGGTTGTGATGACATGTTTGATATGGGCAGTGGCCCTGGCTGTCCTGGACCATACTTCCTCAATGATGCGAACTGCTATCGACGATTGGCGAAGGAGCTGAAGCGATGGGTTGCTGGCACTATGTCGGCGAACAACCCTAACAGGCATGTGCCTAGTGATGCAGAGCTTCAGCACCAGGCACGCTGGATCCTATATGACGAGTAGGTTTTCTGGGCAGGAAGAATCCCGAATGTGACGAGCTGACAATACTTTAGTGACGATCCTTGGAACCAGACTGCTGCAGATAATGCCGAGTGGCTTCAAAGGTTCAAGCGAGACGCGGGTATCCTCAAAACCGATGGTCCTGGTCTCCCAATGAGTGACGGCTGGGCCCTAGAATCTGGTGGCTCAGGATTCGCACCCCCCTATGCTTGTCCCAAGGCGTCGCTCGAGCCCTTCCCTGCAGATGCGCAGGTGTCAATGGGCCAGGGTGCCAAGTCACTGCCAGCAGCCATTGCTAACAGCTACATCGAGAAGCTCACATCGCAGGCGGCACGACCTGCTGAGGTTTTCTGTTCGCGAGAGCTGGAGCGTGGTCTTATTAGCTATGTCGAGGATCAT